TCCGTCAGTTGGCAACCTTCCAAGCCACGGCTTTTAGCGCACCGTGATAGTTTCAAGTGTATCCGATTGTTAGTAGTGAGGAAAGAAATGCGCTGTGGGTCAACCTCTCTCTCTCCCATTGCTAGTAGCAGGCCATCACCTAGCTGATCGGTCGCCTGAGGTGGAATGGCGCGACACTATCAGTTTAAAAGTAATTCCCGCGCAGGTCAACGTTTCTGCGCCACGCTTGTTATGGAATATACGGTGGAGATTGTCAAATATCGACGGTCACACTGTCATAGTGGGAAATGCGCTGAAATGCCAAAGGGAATGGATTCCCCAATGTTGGTCGCACTTTATCCCTCTTTCCTCTCTCAGATACCAGTCGACTGTCCAAGCCTGTCATCCGACGGATAACGAGATTAAGCGCAGAAGCTGACAAACTCCGAATACGCCTACCACCAAGAGTGCCTAGATCTTCAATGAAAACAGGAAATCCCTAAGCCCATCTCCGGTAATCTGTATTCTGTATACTTAATAAAAGTGAGGTGTCTGTCTGTCTGTCTGTGTCCCCGTTATCATTGGTCGCCGGGGTCAGCTCGAAACGGTGCCTGCGCCTTCTGCGCGTGTATGTTAGTGCCGCGCTCACTTCGTAGGCGCGCGCGCGCTCGCATGTGTGTGTGTCTCTACGTCGCTCCCTCCCTGACCTCAAGCGCAGACTTTGGCCGCGCCGTCTCCTTCTTCCGTGCGCGTGAGGCTTCTATATGGTACCACACTTACAGTTTTCCACCTAAACTTAGGTTCTTTACCATAAATTACTTATCCTTCGTCCTACTGAACAAAGCTCTCCCCTGTTCAATGGATCATCACTACTTCATCAAGCATGTCTTCGTCATTGTAAATATCATAACCGATATTTACTTTTAGTTGATTGCGCAGCCTTCGGACTTGCACATTTAAACAGTATTTTTTTTAGTTATTAGACGATTTTTCATCGTTACTTTCTCCACAATTACTCCTTCTGGGCATACACATACTATACATCAAACCAAAGCGACCTCGGGAATGCCGAGCTATTCACCCTATACTTCATACTTTTAAGAGTTTCTCATATACAGCACACATACCGTTTGCCTACATAAGGGACAACAATTGGCAAGGAAGCCTTAAGGCGAAGCCGGGCTTTTGTGCTAGTAAGGACTATTTTGTGTTAATTTTTGTATCGTCAAGTCTAGCTGAAAGAAGGCGTGTTCGACAGCTCTGGTGCGAAGAGAATTTTATCTCAAAACATTCAAACATGCACTCAAACTTTTTGCACCTTGCGTTGGATTACCATGAGCTGATGGCGCTTAAAAAGCGCCAACATGGTAATTTCAGTGAATTTTACCTTGTTTGGCAGCAGTTCTCAACGGCTTCCCTTGCATGCAGAGTTCGTGAAATATAGAAGAAACATAGTGGTCGAACGCTGGAATTATTTGTCTGTTTCCTCTGGGCTTTCAGACGCTTACTACCGCGACAGAACATGAGGAAGCTACAGAGGGTAATTAGCCAATCAGCGACTAGCGTGGCAGGTATTGAGGGCACTATGCCAGATCAATATATGGATAGATTGAGTACTAAACAGTGACCCGAAGTGTAATCAACTTCCCAAACTACCAGACTGTAGAAGAGAGCATAATTTACCTCATCGTTGGGTGAAGACTGCAGAACCTTAAGTCTTCCGGGTATGGCTACCCAGTGGTTTACGCGGGGGATGGATGTCTTGGTGGCGACGACCGTAGATGGATAATTCTCCTGATTAATGCCAGTGCGAAACCAACAGCGCCCGGTGTTGGCAAGCACCCATGCAGCACGCCGTCCGACGCTCATCGATATCAATTTCTCATGGTCCACCAGATCCAGGAGGGCAGGCATTAAAAGCTGCCAGGATGTGCCTGTGGTATAAAAAGCCAGCAGATCAGGCTAATTCTAGCTTTCACGATGTGCGTATGTGCTACCGGTATACGTGATATTGGTTGTTATGGTAGTAGAAGTCATACTGGTAGTATTAGTACTAATAGTAGTAGTGTTTAGGAGAGGGAGTTATGTTGTACTAATATGTAATATTAGTAACAATAATAGTATTAAACAATGGCATTAGTAGTAATAGTTATAGAAGTATTGCTGGTAATAGTAGTAGTAACAATATTAGTATCTGGTGGGAGTAGAGTTTAGAAATAGTCGTAGTATTTAAAATTTGTAGTATTAGTCGTAGAATATTTCTGCTGTAGTATCAGTAGTCCTGGTAATAGAAGTATTGTTAGTAGTAGCCGCAGTAGTAACAATGGTTGTTATAGGAGTATTTAGGAGAAGAAGCAAAGGGGTATTAGGATTTAAGAGTAGTAATAAAAGTATTAATTAAGAATATCAGCCGTAGTAGCAGACATATTAGTACTATTGGTGGTATTGGTAGTATTATTGTAGTAGTATTATTATTTACTATAAGAATTTGCATTTACCAATACAAGCGAACATGTGAGTCCCAGGAAGTAATTTAGAAGATTATTCGATCGCTGGGACAACACTTTTATTCGCCTGACGTTTTGATATCTGTCGTGGATCCCTCAGCAGAGACATTACCAGAAAGCAATAGCAGAAACGGGTAACATGTGCACAGGAATTTCTAGTATTTATAGGACAAAGTAATTCGATTAGACCCGGCCACGCATTCAAATTTCATGAGGCTGAAATTATCGGAAGAGGTGACAAACAGGTGAGCCGAGAACTACTTGAGATCTGGTTCACGGGGCCCCCAATCCACAAATAATTGCAACGACCTACCCAACCTATGTTCGGTGCTGAGGCTTAAATTGGCCAAAGTAAGTGGCTACTTGGGGAACGCACAAACCACCGCGTAGTCTTACGCCAACACCGGGCCCAGCAATCATATTCAACTCCACCACGCGTGGCGCAAGTTAAGCAGG